TGCCAGCAATGAGGGGCAAGATATTTATGGTGCTTTAATCAACCCACTGAAAAACAACCGAGAGCAAGGACTGGCCAGTCTGATGGGTCCACCCCATCCAGGCCAGCTAGCTCTTGTGATTACTCAGAATGGAAAAGAAAGAGACGTTCTCAGAAAAGAAGCCAGTGTTCCTGGGGGAAGAAAGGAGGGGGGGGGGTCATGCTGAGAATGTAGGAACCATTGGAAAGGGTAAGAAATCCAGACCAGGTCTCTGGTGGAGGCCCAAACTGGGAAAGCCAGAAACCTAAGAGACCGCTTCCTTTAAAAGTGAGTAGCAGGCTCCTTTCGGGGACAATGTAGCACCACAGCTCTTACTCAACCAAGGGGAGACATCAGAAAAGGCAGGAGACAGGCTAGGAAGAGAGCTGCCTGGGGACAGGAAAAGCTTGAGGAGGAGCTGGGAAGCAGGGTAGTTTGGTTAGACATTCACACCGAAGACAATCTGCTGAGGCTTCCAGGAACTGCTCTGGGGATTTTAGTCAGAGATACCTGGCAGCTGCTGCTTCCTAAGCCAGCCCCACAGAGAAGGCAGCCTTTTCAGCCGGTGCTAGGAGGCCCACAGTCCAGAAGTACTCTTGGTTGTCTGTATGTCTGTTCTCCCGTGAAGTGGCATAGGCTATCTATCAAGTGGCATCGCTTTGCAGCTCGAGGCTCTTGAATGACCAGTGTTTTGGGGACAAGCCTGGTCCAGGCACACTGGCGAAAGGGCCTACACTGCCTTTCTCCAAAATGATTCCTCCAGAACCATAGACCTCTTAGACAGCTTCCCCCTGTACCGCTACTGCCCACACGTCTCCAACTGCAAGGAAAAGCAAATTCAGCAGAGGCACCTGAGAACACTTTATTCTGGTAGTCTGCCTCGGAAGGAGGGCGGGGAGCATGGTGCCTGACCCTCCCTCCCTCGCTCCGCTCCTCGGTGCATTTGGTCCCACAGGAGGAAAACAGCAGCTGCTCTGCACACTACCGTATATACCCTCCGCCCTTCAGGACCAAATCAGAAGAAACCTTGAAAGAAAGGGGTTGGTTTGTTTTGCTGATCAAATCTCCTTCTCAGCCTTTCAGTCAGACAGGGCTAACTCGTTGGCCACCTCCAAACGCTGCGCCAGGAGCCTTGCCCAGGCCCTAATGGGGTCTGCCTAGACCTTGAAGTTCGGAAAAACAAGAGGAGACTGAACCGGCTCCCTCCCTTCTTTACAGACACACACGCACCGTCAGGCCGCGGCCACTTCCTGCCTTTGTTTTTCTTCCTCCAAACATTTTTGGCCTCTTGCTTTAGCAGCCGTAGGGCTCCGGGTTGACGATTAAAGGCATTAAACGTTGAAGAGTGTGTTCTGGAGATGGCCCTGCGCGGTGGAGTTCTTGAGAAAGAACAGCTCCTGGGAAGCCAATGTCCAGGGCCAATGTCATAGCCTTGCCGCCAGCCGCCTCTTCTAGGAATGGAACTCGGACTTGGCCTTCCGGTGTGGTCTAGTCGGGTCTTTCCCAGGGCCTGATGGGCTGAGATCCACCTTCGGCCTCCTGCAAAGCCAAAGAGTCGGTTAGGCTCAGAGCAAAGTCAAAACCAAGGACCCGCGGAATCACCTCCCTTTCTTCCCCCAGATTTGGTCCGAACCTCAGGGAAGCTCTCACCCTGTACCCTGATGCCTGTTCGAAGAACATTCACACTACCGGGGCCAAGCAGGACTGGATTAGGCAAAGCGGCTACTCCTGCGCAGCCGTGGGGATCTGGGCACCCCACTTCTTGTCTCTCTCTGCTTGGAGAACTAAAAGCAATCGGCAGCTCCCGGCCGGTTCCCTTCTGTTGCCATCAAAAGCCTTTTCCTCGTGCGTCTTCACCGCAGCGCCCCCACACGCTCCCTTCTAGGATGGAAATCCCTGTGGGCGCCCTTCTTCTGTCCAGCCTGTCGAGCTGCTCTGCCAACCACTCCTGAGGCACCTTCTCCCTACAGCCTTCCCTTGAGAATTCGTCTCGTCTCCTGCTGGCCCCACGGGATACAGACCTGCCGGCTGCCATTCAATTAAGCCCCTCCGTGAGAACCTACGAGGCCCTGGCTGGGCGGAACGGCAGCACGGTGCCACGCTGACCTTTCCCGCGGGCACCCCTTCTCCCTGGCACCCAGGGAAGTCGAGCTCATTATGAGAGAAGCAGCCATGTAGTCAGGAGAGGCGGCCCTGTGTCCCCCCGCGGCTGGGCCACCTCGGCCCCACTGCTCAGGCACAAGCTGAAGTTGACTGCCAAAACTGCTATAAAACCGCAGGTCTGTCTAGAACTGTTTTCGGTTCTCCCAGACGCCCCCGGGTTCAATTATGGTCTTAAAAGCCCTAACACAAGTGCAAGAATTTGTTTGCCTTCACCCAGGGGCGGGACGGGCCCTGCGATGGTGGCGCCTTTGTTATGGCAAAGTCACTGAAAACCTTCACGCATTCCTTTTGTTCCAGGGTAGGGGTGTTGAGGACTGGGTGGGCTGCCGGGCTAAAGTTGGAGGGAGCAAAAGCCAACCCAGGAAACTGCTCAAACCCTGCTGCTTGCAACCTCACCTCCCTTTTATATTCCGTCTCCAGAAAGATATTGTGAAGACACAAATATTTTTGCCTCCTTGGTGGCTGCTGAAAATAGGGTGGGGTTTTTGTTGTTGTTGTTGTTGTTGTTTGTTTGTTTTGTTTTTGCTGCAGGACTATGCTGTGGCTGAGATCCTCAGCTTTAGAAGGCCTGAAGCCACCCCGGCCCCAAAACCTCTCTCCCTGCTAGATCTCCCTCTCACTCACCCCGCCACCGTCATCTACGAAGCCACAGTGGACGAATATGTCAAACTGAAGATGCACAAATAATTTCAAGTTCGGCTCTCAGGGATTTCAAGGGGCACGGAAGTTCCTGCAGCAAATCCTGAATAAAGAGTTCATTAAACCAATGTGTCCGGGGAGCTTGATTTGTGATAAGCCACCCTTGTAAAGGGAGGAAGGGGGTCAGAACCACATAAACATTAATGCTAATAAATTAGTTTACTCCGCTACACTGTAATTACTTGATATTATTGGTATTTACAGTGGGCATTCAGATGCAATGTGGGTCATTATCTGGAGAAATACACAATGAGACTAGTCCTTTTCCAGAGCAATACACGATTAAATTTGTTATTGAGTCAGTTACAGTCAGCTCAGCAATAAATAAATAAATCGATGTTGACACTTAAATACCAAAGATCTTAGCGTTTATACTCTAAATCTCCCCGAGATATGTAAATACCGTTGGCCATTTCCTGGATGAGGAAAGGGAAGAATGTTTCCGTCTTTCACTTTTGACTGTTGTGACACCCTAGCACCTTCTGAGAAGGTGGTGGTGGAGCAGAACCCCCCCCTCCCCAGGTCCGGGACCCCACCTCTGCTCTGGCCATACCTCCTCGCTGCTCTGTGCCCCCTTCTTTCTTTCATTTTCCCCAAATACTTCCTGGGTCTTGCAGAACCACAGTCGTTATTTTGTCTCTTTAATCCCCTCTCCTGCTCTGGAGAAAGCTAAGTTCATCCTAGCAGCTAAGGCCTCCCTAGCTTTTTTCTCTCCGCCCGGCAAGCCTTGCTTTTTCAAGACGCGTCTGTGGCCCGAGGTGCAGGCAGCTAAGAAAGCACCTCTCTTTCCTGAGGACTAACTAACAAGACTGATTGGAGCTGTCTCAGTTTCTGCCTTGAATGTCCTTTGCTTTCACTCTTGGGCTTTCCAAGGAAGGAGAGACGGGTTACTCCTTTCTCAGTGAGGGCCCCTTGGGCCATTACCCCCCTCCTTGCCACCCTCCATCTCCCTCACAGCTCTGAAGCGCGGCCAGCAGCCTGGTGCCCCCCCCCCCAAAGGTGCAGCATACCCAGGAGAAGGCCCCTCGGATGTCAGCGCCTCTAAAACCGCCTCAATTGCACGGCTTCCCGATTCGTCAGCTTCAGCAGGCCGGGCAGCTTGCGGACCGGTGAGCAGAAGTGCCTCTAAGCTCTGCGGAGTCATTCCGAACCCCCTACAGGCAGCGAGGGGAAGGGGGCTCCTCCTGGGGCGGGGCGTGGGGTGAGGAAGTTAGGCAGAACGGTACCGGGAAGGTGGAACCCGGGTGAGGCGAAGGCCCTTCCGGACGGCGCGGATTATTGACAAACCGCGGAGGGAAGCCGCCGCGCCTGTTGGCGGTTTGGGGACGGAAGGGCACTAAAAGCGCTTCGGAAGTGACCGTGAATGAGAGCGTGTAATCAAGTCACCGTGCAAATCGGACAAGCCACGAGGCCGGCACATCCAGGGCTGCGAAGCCTGGCCCCAAAGGGGGTCCAGCCCGGGGTCTGAGGCTGAGGGGCTTCCTGGAGCGAGCCTGGAGAGGGGGTGCGGGGGTCGGGGGTGGGGTGGGGAGCGTTGCGAAGAAGGTGCTGAACGTAATGGACCCGGAGCCCCGCGGCCCCGGGCCTTCACCTGGCCACCCGCAGCCCGGAGCATCCCTCACCCGCCGGGGAGAGGGGGGAGGCGTCAGCAGCTGCGCTCCCTCGCCGGACCAGGACCCCGAGGCTGAGCAGAGGAGAGCCGCCTGGGGGGGGGGTGCACCCCGGCCCTTCTGCTCGCGGGGAGCCCCCCCCCACCCAACAGCCAACATGAGTTACACCGGCGATTACGTGCTTTCGGTGAGAACACCGAGTGACGATCTGTTGCTTCCCCTGAGGTGGCTACAAAGAAAGGAAGCCGGGGAGGGGAGGGGAGGGGAAGAAAAGGAAAGGGAGGAGGAGGGGGGGGGTTAAAGGAAAAAAAAAAAAAAGCCGGGACCAGCTCGCAGCTTGTCAATTTCAACATCGGGTCACATGACCAGCACCTCCCTGCTAAGGATGGGGATAGATTTCCACGTCAGCTTACGTCTCCAAATTTCTACTTCACGGATCCGCTTCAAAGAGGCAGCTGCAGTGGAGAATGATGTTAAGCGCGGCTACCGCGGACAGCCCGAGGTAGCCCGATGATGGATTTTGATGAGCGTGGTCCCTGCTCCTCTAACATGTATTTGCCAAACTGTACTTACTACGTCTCGGGTCCAGATTTCTCCAGCCTCCCTTCTTTTCTACCCCAGACCCCGTCTTCGCGCCCAATGACATATTCCTACTCCTCCAACCTGCCCCAGGTCCAACCCGTGCGCGAAGTGACCTTCCGGGAGTACGCCATTGAGCCCGCCACTAAATGGCACCCCCGCGGCAATCTGGCCCACTGCTACTCCGCCGAGGAGCTCGTGCACAGAGACTGCCTGCAGGCGCCCAGCGCGGCCGGCGTGCCCGGCGACGTGCTGGCCAAGAGCTCGGCCAACGTCTACCACCACCCCACCCCCGCCGTCTCGTCCAATTTCTATAGCACGGTGGGCAGGAACGGCGTCCTGCCGCAGGCCTTCGACCAGTTTTTCGAGACGGCCTACGGCACCCCGGAAAACCTCGCCTCCTCCTCCGACTACCCCGGGGAAAAGAGCGCCGAGAAAGGGCCCCCGGCGGCGGCGGCGACCTCCGCGGCGGCGGCGGCGGCCACGGGCGCGCCGGCAACTTCAAGTTCGGACGGCGGCGGCGGCGGCGGCGGCTGCCGGGAGGCGGCGGCGGCGGCGGAGGAGAAGGAGCGGCGGCGGCGGCCCGAGAGCAGCAGCAGCCCGGAGTCGTCCTCCGGCCACACTGAGGACAAGGCCGGCGGCCCCGGTACGTATAAAGGCGCAGCGCCCGGCGCTTTATGGAAGGGGAGTTGGGAAGCTAGCGCAGCACCGCTGTTAAATTTTTATATGCTGTTTTATAAGCATATAAGGTTTATGAAGGGCCTTTAGGTTCCCCCAACAAAACTTTGTTATAAAAGGAGGCATCACGTGGCGAGTGCTGAAATTGGCCGTGAAATACCCACCGGCCAAAGTATGCCTGCAAAAAAAAAAAAAAAAAAAAAAACCCCCCCCTTTTTTTCCTTTTTTTTTTTTCCCCCCTTCTCAGTTCCCAAACCCAACAGCACGTTCCCGCTCAGGCCAGCTCAAGGCTGGGGAGCCGGAGGTGGGCGCCTGTAAATTCCCCCTACAAGGGCTTCAGGAGCCTTTGATAGCGAGGTAATCCGGAGGTTTTTATAAAAGCCATGTGTTGCGGCGGGACTCGGTCCCGGCTGGGATTCAAAGGCATCGCTGTTTAACGATGGCGCATTTCACAGATAAAGTAGCCCGCTTAGCCCGAGCAATATATTAAAAGGAACAAATTAACCTAAAGTTGGCCTTTTTGTCCAAAAGGAAGCCATTTTCCTCTGGCTCGGTGGCAATTACGTGCTCCTCCTGTTATTCACAATTGTTATTAAATCAGTCAAAAGCAATGTTGTGTGTGTGTGTATGTGTGTGTGTGTGTGTGTGTGTGTGTGTATGTGTGTTTAAGGAGGGGATGGACAAATAGCTCCTGCCTGAGGCTTCAGAAAGCCCCTCTTCCCTCTAAAATAGCACCCCTGCCCTGCTGCTGGTTCTCTGGCTGCGTGGTGGCGGCGAGCGCCGACTGAAGGCCCCGGGGTAGGGGCCTTCCCCTGCCACCTCCCACCTCGACAGAGCTGGGAGGCTAGCGGGAGAAGCCAGAGCTGGCCATCAGGAGCCACACTGACAAAGACCGCGAAGCCGCCCCAGACGTTAAAGAGGGCTAAATCCCGGCTGCAGCCGGGAGAGCCGGGGGCCGGGGTGCATGCCTTTACTGCCCCGGGAACAAGCGGCCCAGGTGCTGAAGGTGAAATGTCCCCCGGCGGCGGCTGTTTGTTTAGTCTGGCCCAGGCCGCAACCCCCACTCGCCTGCTTTCAAAGCGGTTCAGCCAGCGCAGGCTAGCCTGTTGCTGTGGGGAGCTCTCCTCTCTGCTCCAGGGGCAGCCTGAGCCTTTTCCCTGGGGGCCTGTCTCGGGAGCTGGCTTTTATCTGAAGCCGGCTCCGACGGCAACTTGCCCCTCACCAGCAACAGGAGCCTGAAGGCAGGGGCCTGGAAAGGCTTTGAAGGGGCCTGGCTTGGGCCTGCAGACCCTGGAGCCAGACCTTCTTCTCCACTGGGGGTCCCGGGGGCGGGCTGCAGCCTCTGTTTCTCCGCTCACTCTTTGCCGCTCTCCCTCCTTAGGTGGCCAACGCACCCGCAAAAAGCGCTGCCCTTACACCAAGTACCAGATCCGAGAGCTGGAGCGCGAGTTCTTCTTCAGCGTCTACATCAACAAAGAGAAGCGGCTGCAACTGTCCCGCATGCTCAACCTCACCGATCGTCAAGTCAAAATCTGGTTCCAGAACAGAAGAATGAAGGAAAAAAAGATTAACAGAGACCGGTTACAGTACTACTCAGCTAACCCGCTTCTCTAAGGCTCCAGCCTGCCGGAATTGGGAGGGGGCTTCATACAGTTGAAATTATATGCAGATTTTGCCCTTGACAAGGTCAAGCCACATAGTGACTTGGGAAAAAAAAGGGGGGGTGATGTAGGAGAGAGGGGAGGCTTCCTTTGCAGAGGTAGCCCAATGGGAAACGGCCTGAAACTCTCTTGGTTCAAATCTCAATGGTTAAGCTTCTTATTAATAATTGGATTCAAAGAGCTGTGAATCAACAGAATGAATGGTTTGGGACCCCCTGGTGGTTCACTCTTAGAGCCTTCAAAAGCTTCGGGCTGGGTGTGGTCGCTGGGGATTGGGCCCCCTGCCAAGCCGTTTGGAGGCCACCCCCTCAGGACCCCCTGCACGGAGCCTGCCCACCCTCCAGTCTCCTGAGTCAAGAAATTGTGTGCTCTGCTCTCCCAGCCTAGATCAGCTCAGGGATGGGAGAAGGAGGAGAGAGGAGGATTCCTAGAGATCCAGAATGGGGTTGCTTTCCAAAAGTAATGTGAAAGACGGACTAGAAGGTGGCTGTGAAATGGGAGAGATCTGGGGTTCCTGGAGGAAAGAGAAATCTGTCCAGGTGACACTAATATCCTTCCATCCCTCCTAGACACCCACTGGCCTGCCTGCAGGCCTGAGCACCTAGCCGCCACCTTCTGCAGCCCACCTTGGTGGTGATGGGGTTTCACTCAAGCCCAGAGTTTGGTCCCAGAGCTGACTATTCCAGGGGGAGAAGACATTGAAAAATCAAGAGGCTGTGCTGGTTGCTGGCCCCTCAAGCTCTACAGGAAATGCCTGTGGACTGCTACAGTTTGGCAAAGTCTCCACCACATTAAGGAAGATTTGGATTCTGTGTGGGTCAGTCAGCGGAACAGCAGGCCTGGCCAGTGGGTCCTTGGTCTCAGCTAGGAGGGGCTGAAGTCTCCCCACTGCCAGATCCCTCATTCCTAAGCTGCACTCTGCTCTCATTGACTCGGAACTGAGTTTGGAAGCTTCTGGCAATCTCCTAAGAGCCGGAGAGTGATTTGGAATTATTTTAAAAGATAAATATTATATTATATATATATATTTCCCCCCGAAGGAACCAAAGCGAATTTTAAGATGCAATGTAGAGGGGGAGGGGCGGGGATAATAAAAATATTTAAAGGCTCTATCTGTTTACAGTGTTCCAAGGTTAAACTCGCTCACTGCTAAAAAAAATATTTGAATGTATGCTTCATACAGGGATGGTGTTCAAAAGACTTGTAAATAAAGAAAACATAACCTACTGTGTTTCAATATTCCTTTCCCCCACCCCCACCCCGTCATTAGTTGATTTCTTTTTGAGTTCAGGGTACTGGAGAGAGTGGGAAGGATATTGGAGATGGTCTTTTTGGTTGTGAGCCATCTCTCCAGCCCGGACATGGTCTTTTGAATCTCTCACAATATTGTAACGTTTGAATAGGGCTGGCATGGTGGCAGCCGGCCTACCAAGACCTCTGGGAGAGCCAGACAATCTCCAAGTGAATCTCTTCCTCCTCCCTGAGTTTAGAACTCCCTGGTGGCTCTGTAGTGAGGCCCTTGGGCAGCTCTCGCCCACCATGTATTTCCTATATGTCTTAACAAGCACACAGACAGTAGGGCATACAAAAAAAAAATTAAAAGAGTAGAAATTTGCATATTGGGTTCTGGTGTGACATTCCTCTCCCTGTTTGCTTTTCCCTGCCAACTGTCTCCCTCAACTAGCATCCTTTTGCCAGTAAAAAGAGGTGCGTTCCCAGGTCCCTGAAAGGTGTGTGTGGAGAAGATAGAATCAGGATTGAGCCACAATAGAAGCAAAAGCCTAGGAAGGAAGCGGAGGCTACCTTGTGGAAAGCGTCATAGGAACGGGATATGTCAGGGCCTAGCCTCTGAGACCTCACTCCCTACAACTGACCTCAGCCCTGGAGAAGGCCTTGGGGGACTGCCACAGTCAGTGGCCTAAACCAGGCTAACCTTGCTCACCTCAGGACTGAATGGAGCCCCTCTGGGTGTACCTTGAGGGGGTCCTTTCAGCAAGGGAGTCTGGGTACCAAGACAGAGTCGGGGAGCCTCTAAGTGTGTTTCCTCGGGAGCTCCCTCGCCCTTCCCTTGGGCAAAGAAAGATGCATTCGGGGCTTGTTCTTTGTTTGCTGTCTTTGAACTTCTGCCTTAAATTTGGACATCACCCATAACCTTGAGGGGCAGGGCAGAAAGGACAGAGCCTTTTGTTGCTCACCCTCTTCCCAGCCACCCAGGCAGAGCCAAAGCGGCGAAGAGGGTCTGGTTTGGAGAGAGGCCCTAGGCTCCAGACCCTGATCTATTTATTTGTTTGTGTGTTTGTCTAACTGTCGCGACGGGGGTGGGGAAAGCGAGCTGAAAGGGAGAAGGACAGAACCCCTACATGAATGTCTAGGTTGATAGACACAATGAGAACAAGGACCCTCCTTGGGGGGGGGGGGTAAAGGGGGCGGGCAGGGAAGCCGGGTTTAGGAAAAGACTTCCTTTGGGATGGTTAAAGATTAGCCAAAGTCTCTCAAGTTGCTAGAGAGTCTAGCCAGGAGAACTGCTTGCAGGCGGGCGGCGGGCGGCGCGGGTTTGATTTCTGAGCCCTATAAAAGCCCATCCTCCGATGGCTGTGACAATGTGGTCGTAAACCCGTCCCGGGCCGGCCAATTTGCATATTTGGAATGCGCCGCTATAAACCCGGCTGGGGTTTTGCAGCAATTTCTTAGATGTAAAAATGAGATCTCAATAGCAGCGGGTTGGGCACATTCTCTCGCTCTTTTTCTGTGCCCGGAGCCAGCTTCCTTTTCTGGGCTGCAGGCTAGATCTGCAGCCTTGCCTAGGCCTGCAGCCGCCACGAGGTGGCGCACTTCCGATCAATGTCAAAGCCGCCCGGGAGCCCGGAACCCCAGCGAGATTCTTGGCCTTTGTTCGCTTCTGATACTAAGAGCAGCACGGTACGTTATTTCACTTGTCCGTCTCCCCCTCGTAGTCAAAAAGAGGGGGCCTCGCGCTCAAGAGGCGATCGGGGCCGTGCTTTAAAGCAACGCGCCCTCGCTAGGCCTCTCCTCGTCGCGGCGTGGACGAGCTGCTGCTGCCCGGGGGCAGGGATTTCAGCAATGAGTCAAGGTAAGCGGCCACAAGTTTGCCAGCTTCACCAGAGTGGAGGTAGGCGTGGGGACGCAGCGGAGAGCTCAGGCAGGCTCCGGGCCGCGCCTGGGTCTGTGGGGTGATGCCCCTTTGTCACCCCCACCCCCAGCCCCCGCCGCCGCCGCCCCGCCGCTCCCTACGGTGGGAGAGCAGCGGGGGAGGCCTACGTGGAAAAGTTGTCGGCTTGAGCTCCGCGCGCCAGCCTTTCACCCCAGCCGCTCACCCCGGACCCTCTTTCGATTTTGCTCAACTATCCCGATCCGAGCAAGTTAGGTGTGCTCCCAAAGCAGGCGAAAGGGACCCGGCTGTGCCGAGGTCAGGGCTGTTCAGAAAGGAAAGACATGGCAGAGTCCGGGAAAACAAAGTTTCTGCTTGGAAACAATGGGGTGGTCAGCATCTGTGGCCCTTTGGAGCCGGTTTCCTCCCCGGAGCGGCCCGGCAGAGGTTACAGATTTTTCTCGTAGGTGCAAGCCTCGGAGTCTGCCTGGCAGGCTATCGCCAAGCTTTGTTCCCAAAAAAGGCCGTTCAAAAAAAGTCGCATTTGGCTTTCCTGGGGCGGTTGGAGACAGCCCCGTGCTGCGTATTTGGAATGTGGCATCGTATTCCCGGCTGGCGTTTTCCAACAAAATTCCCCAGCCGTTAAAACGAGGAATGTTTTCACTGCATAGTTTGCAAAATGTGCAAAAATAATACATTGGTAAATATCGGTATATTTGTTCAAACGGCCTGGAGACTAAGTCTGGCCCCTAGCCTTTATGAAACAAGATTTAAATAACCAAAGCGCTTACAATTTGGAGGCCAGATTTAAATTTCCCGTTTCTCCCATATTTAATTGTTTTTTTTTAATTTTAGTATCTTTTCGTTTGTTTCTCGAAGCAGTTTCTTTCTTTCCCCAAATATACAGTGCCATGGATGAGTAAAAAATAATAATAATAATCCAGAACAAGGAGATGCTTCCCCTGTTCAGAACTGTGTGAGCGAAATTTGTGTTTATGAACTACTAGTGTTGTTAAGCACGGGCTCCTTAGCCATGCCAGAAAATAAAATAAATAAATAAATGAATAAAGCAACCCTGAGCAGAAACCCACTCTGCGAACTGCAGACAGTGGATCCCTCCCTAACCTCCCAACCCTCCAGTTTTAAGGCCAGAACATTTTCTTGCCTCCAAAACTAAGAACACTGGTTTTCAAGATTACTGATAAAAGCAAAAGAAGGATTTAGAGGGGAAAAAAAATAGAAAAATATTTTAAGTCGAGGATAGATTGAACCTCATAAACAAAAAAAGGAACAAGACCCCACACAGTAAACAGCCTGGAAGCATCCACACGCTTAAAGAAGAACAGTAAAATAGTGTAGCTTATGGAAAATTTCCAGTTATTTATACATATCTGAGTGGGAGAATTTCTCAAATTGTGTTAATGCTGGACTGGTTGAAGCTGTATTAATTTTCCTTCATGAAGCTGCAATCCACCCTACAGCCCTCTGGATAATTTGAACCCCCCCCAAAAAAAAAAAAAAAAAGTACTGAGAATGATCTCCATGTACAAAGCGATTTGTATTTCATTCTCGGGACCTAGATTTTTTTTTTTTTTGGTTGTTTGCTTTGTTTTGTCCTAGTGAAAAAGTCAACTTATTTTTATATTAAGAATGTATTTGGGGGGGGGGCTTGCAAGGGCCTACTTAGGGAAGCGGAATCTACTCTCAAGTAGAATGCAGAGGAATATTCAGACTTTCTTGACTCTTGTGCCTGGCATTTCTTGGGCCTCCGTGGGAAGAATGGGTGTTATCACCAGGTAGAATCCGGCAATATTTACTTCGGAACAAACACAGGCTCTGGCGGTGGCGGCACGGCTGCTGCCTAAGCCTGGTTAAGGCCAGCAGGCACCAGGGGTTTTAGGTCAAAGGCATCTAAAGAAGGAAAAGGGAATTCAGCTGCTGGGAAAAAAAAAAAAAAAAAAGGGAGGGCAAAGAAGAAAAGAAAGGAAAGGGAGTCACTATTCTTAATCTCTTGGGAATGGTGAATCTCCGTAAAGCCAAAGAGCTCAATAAACAGAATAATTTTATTGAGGAGCTAACACCTCATTGTTGTAGTCTAGGGAGACACTAGAGCCTTCAGGGTAGGGATTCCTCCGGCTCCAGACCAAGAAGGCCGAGCAGGCACTCAACCCACTGATTGCATTTAACTTGAGCTTCTGAGTCACTGTATTTACTCTGAGACAACCACGCCAGGCCAGCCCGCTGGATACTGGTATTCCTGTGGTTCCCTTGCTCAGCAAGTCTCAGTGGGGTAGAACAGAGGCCCCAGCCAGAGAGAGGTTGCCATAAAGGCTTATACTCTTAAACAAGATTTAAAAAAAAAAAAAAGAGCTCAAATTAAAAGTTTTGTTTGGGTTTTTGCAATAGGGAAATTTGAAAACGACATAACTGCTCTCCACAAAGGTGGATGAAGATCCTAGTGCCAATGCCATGGTCTGGGAGGCTGCTAGCAAGCAATCTTATTCCTCCCATCTTTAGCAGAGTTGGCCTTTGTGGTATATGAAGTGCCGGGAGCTGAGTTTTTAACCTTGGTCAGCAAATGAGGCTTCTGGATCCCGTCCAGCTTAGAAACACATCTGGCATCCTACAAGGCCTTCACTAGGACAAGTGGCTTGTAGTTGGGCACCTGGCTTGTCTTGCCAGACAAATAGGCTGCTGAGTCCTCGGAGAGGGAGAGTCCTGGATGCTGTAGGGATTTGAGGAAAAGGTGTTTTGTTTTGAGGGGGTCCATGAACTCTTTGAAGATGATGGATCAAATCATGGGAACGCACAGATTTTTTTTTCTTTATTCACAAGATAAGTTAAAACTACCCTTGGATTACTCACAGGGCTCCCTAAAGCCCTAGAAGGTTAAGAAAGATGCTATCTTTATCACTGCCTTTCACTTTATTCCTATAGCCTCTGCCATCTCAAACACGCTCCCCTATGGCCACTGGTCCTTTAAAAACCTCAGCCAGGGAAACTCCTTTCTGCATGAAATCCAGACAGGGACAGATCAGGATCCTGGCTCCCAAGCCTGCTGGCCTGCTGGGGCTCCTTTTCCTCAGAATGTTCAGAGCTCTGGGGACCTACTTCCCCACAAAACAGCTTTCTAGAGAGGTGTCAGAATTGCTGGAGAGCAGAGTGCCTTTTTCGGGCAGCTCCAGCTGCAGGGCATTTCCGGGTGGCACTGTTGCACACAAGAGTTCCACCTATCTGGTGAACAGAGCAAGGACCAAGCACAGCCTGGAGGCTGGAGGCTGGAGGCAGGGACATAAGCTTCGGTGCTCTGAAGCTTTGCAGTCTGGCTCTCTGGCCCCAAAGGCCTACCCAAGTGAAAATTTGCCTTGGCCCTGGGTACAAAAGCCAGTCAGATAGTCAAGGATGTCCCACACAGCTTTTATTTCACAGAGTGGCTGCTGCAGATTGAAAATCCCGGCTGCAGAAAGCTGATCCTCATCTGTGTTCATATTATTCTCTTTTTTTCTCTTCCTCTGTTTTTCTCATCTCCTTGTCTCCTTCTTCCCCTTCTGGCCCCCTTTCTCTCTCCATCCCTTTCTTTTCCGTTCAGATCCTTAGATACCCAGCCCTCCCAGACAGTCCCCTCAAGAGACAGAGGCAGAGCTGGCAACGATGATGCCTTGCTCGTGCTAAGAGAGGCAGGGCCTCCTGGGCGCGGCTAGCCAAGCAGCTGCAACCAACTGCAGTTTCTGGAATCTCAGCAGCCAGAGCCTGGCCTCTAGCTAGCCAGCTCTCCTAGGTGCTTTCATCTCAGGCTCTTCTCGGGGTTGTCTTTGTCTGGGATTCATTCTGGGAGGAACCAGAATATGACCATCCAAAAGCAAAAGTCTCTCCTTGCCATTTGCAGAGGCCTGAACAATGCAGTTCCTGGGATCTGGGCAGTCAGCAGCTCTCCAGTTCTAACTGGAGCTGGCAGGACTGGGGCATCCTGGAGACCTTGTAACCCACAGGTCAGGGGCAAAGCACCAACTGCACAAACTCCGCTGGTTCCTGCCAAAAAAAGGTTACATTTCCCGAGCTTGATAAGAGGCCCAGGCTTGGGGGCTAGCGTACCCCAGGCTGACCACTACCAACTGTGTAAGAACCCCTGAGCAGAACCTAGTGTCTGCTAAGCAAAGTACCTGGCCTTTGGAGTCTCTTCTAAAAGGGCCTAAACCCAGCTCAGCCTTCCAGAGAACGGAGCTCCTCGTGACCCCTTGTTAAAGTGCGCACACTGCACTCCAAAATGGCTGCAACAATGACTACCCTAGCCATGTCTTTGGGGGTGGGTACAGCAAGGCAAGAGTGCAATGGCAGGTTTTTGGGAGCGTGGGAATGCTGAGGCGAAAGGGAGAGTGAGAGAGAAAGCAATGTGGCAGAGGCAGATCTGCTGGAGACATGCTTCCAAGATGCAGCCTTCCCCCCAACCCCCGCCCCAGTCCTTCCAGTGCAGAAAGACCAGAGACCCAAGGCTGACATTCGTGTTCTCTAGAGGAAGTGGGCTTGGGGTCTCCTCCAGAGGATGGGGAGGATGCCTTTGACTCTGCCCCGAGGATGGTAGGGGAAGTCTTTTGCTAGGGTCGCCAGTCCAATGTGCCAGCTGTGCAAAGACTGGATGGCAGAAGCAGGGAGCATCAGCGCAGTGAAATAGAAAAATCTCGACTGGCCAAAGGATGGAGTAAGACAGCGGTGCGGCCTGAGGAGCCGGGCGATGGTCCAGCCAGGGTGTTTCGGATAATATTCTTTGTGAGGTGCTGGACGCGGTGGGGGCCAGCTCCCAGTTCACTGTGGGTTCTGGACACTCCGAGGGTCTCGACAGCCTTAGGACCACGTCAGATACTTTGGGAAGCCAAATTTAAGAACTGGGACCAGGACCAGGTCCAGGTCCAGAAATGAATAGAAGGGCTAGACTGCGCCAGAGCCCGCTGAAAGGATCAAGGAGCGACGGGGTCTCGCGGCCACTCCACAGCAGACACGGGAGCACCCAAGGACGGCCGGGGTGCACCTCATAAACACCCCACTTGTTAACAGCGCAGAGCCCAAGGGCGCTCCCTGATAGACCCTCGCGTGGGGGGGGGGGATACAGGCTCAGGAGCCAGGTTCTCTCCCCGATCGCCACTTTGACGCAAGCCCCCACAGTTGCGGCCTTTGGGCCATAGGTGTCAGGCGCGCGTCTTCTGGCCCATCAATACAGATTACATATTTATATCAATCGCGGGCTCCGAGGGCGCCCTCAGAGAGCGGCCCCGCGCCTACGAAACCAAACTGGGAGTGGTCGCGTGGAAACCCTGGCTCGGGATTGGCTGCGAGCGCCCGCCGCGGTGCGGGGGGATCGCTAACCGTATCCAGCATGTTTTGCACAAGAAATGTCAGCCAGAAAGGGCTATCTGCTCCCTTCGCCAAATTATCCCCCAACAATGTCATGCTCGGAGAGCCCGGCCGCCAACTCTTTCTTGGTGGACTCGCTCATCAGCTCGGGCAGAGGCGAGGCCGGCGGCGGCGGCGGCGGCGCGGGGAGCGGCGGCGGCGGCGGCGGCGGCGGCTACTACGCCCACGGCGGGGTCTACCTGCCGGCGGCCGGCGACCTGCCCTACGGGCTGCAGAGCTGCGGCCTCTTCCCCGCGCTGGGCAAGCGCAATGAGGCGCCGTCGCCCGGGGGCGGCGGGGGAGGCGGCGGCGGGGGCCCGGGGCCCGGCACCCACGGCTACGCGCCCGCGCCCCTAGACCTGTGGCTGGACGCGCCCCGCTCCTGCCGGATGGAGCCCCCCGACGGCCCGCCGCCGCCGCCCCAGCCCCCGGCGCAGGCCACCGCCTGCTCCTTCGCCCAGAACATCAAAGAGGAGAGCTCCTACTGCCTCTACGACTCCCCGGACAAATGCCCCAAGGGCTCGGCCGAGCTGGCCCCCTTCCCGCGGGGCCCGCCGCCCGACGGCTGCGCCCTGGGCGCCTCCAGCGGGGTGCCCGTGCCCGGCTACTTCCGCCTGTCGCAGGCCTACGGCACGGCCAAGGGCTTCGGCGGCGGCGGCCCCGGCGGCCCCGGCGGCGGAGGAGCCGCGCAGCAGCTCGCCAGCCCCTTCCCGGCACAGCCCCCGGGGCGAGGCTTCGAGCCTCCGCCCGGGCTGGCCCCCGGCTCGGCCGAGGCCGCCGGCAAGGAGCGAGCCCTGGACGCCACGCCGCCGCCCCCCACGCTGGTCGGCGGCGCCGGGGGCTCGCAGGGCGACGAGGAGGCGCACGCGTCCTCGTCGGCCGCGGAGGAGCTGTCCCCGGCTCCCTCGGACACCGGGAAGGCCTCTCCGGAGAAGGAGTCCCTGGGTAAGCCGGGCGCCAGGCTGGGGTGGGGGCCCGCGGGGAGGAAGCCGGGCGCCCGGGCCCGCGCGGCCGCCGCAGGCGCTGGCCGGAGGCAGGCTGACCTCCTGAACTTGTTTGTGAGAACCGGCCGTGGGGACGCGGTCCAAGCCCACGGGCGGCCGAGCGCCCCGCACCGGGGCGTCCCGGGCGCCGGCCCTGGCTCACCCCGGCTGGGGGGTGGTGGGGTTTGAGGGGGATGAGGCCACCAGCCAGCAGCCCCCTCCTCCTGCGCACACGCTTTCTTTGTGGCCCCGGGGTCCCCCCACACCCCCCGGGCCCCGGGCCCCCCGGCCCGGCCTGCTCGGCGCGGCCCACGCGGGGGGAGGGGCGGGGAGGGAGCGCGGGCCGCCGGCAGATAGCGCGGATGTTTGTAAGGCATCCAAAATAAGCAGCCGCCAGCGCCAATAAATAAGCCCATTAACCGGCGAAGTTCGAGTTTACGATCCCTCCCGTGCGTTTTTCAAAGTTCCTGGAGGGGCGGGAATGGAAGGGAAGGCAAAGCCGGCCCGGGACGCCTGGGGCCCTGAACCGAGAGCCTAGGAGTGGCCATCTCCCTTCCCCCGCGATCCAGTGGTACCCGGCCACACGGCCCGGGTTTCCCGGAGGGGCAGGAGCCGGACAGCCCTTGACCCTAGCATCGGTTTGGGGGGAACCTCCCCACCGGCCCAACTCTGCCCTCCTGCTCCAGCCGAGGGCGAGCCAGGAGACGAGGGCGAGGCGGGGAAGCTGCCAGCCCCTCCGGTCCGGACAGGCGTCCCTCGCCCCCAGCTCGGGGGGCCCGCAGGAAATGCCTCCCTGCCCCCGGGTGAGAGGCAGAGAAAGGCGTTAAGTTCAAGACGGACGGCCCTGCCTCCTCCGGCCTTTCATTCTCCCAGCGCCCCGCGGCGTGCTGCTAAAACAGGTGCCTGGAGAGAAAAAGCCAGAGCAAGACGAGGGAAATGTAAATCGCCAGGACCGGGTTGCGGGCCTGGGGGCCCCGCTCCATTCTGTCGGGCCTCTTCGGAGGGGTCCCTTGTTCTCCGAAAGTCAAAGGAGGCCGGCCACAGCCCTCTCTCTATGCCTTCGCGCGTCCCCCCCGAAGGGGAAAGCGCCGGAATCCGGCCCCCCCCCCCCCCCCCCCGGCGCAGCCCGAGTGGCCTCGACTTAACCTCCCCGTCTGCGTTCCACCCCAGGCAACTCCAAAGGCGAGAACGCAGCCAACTGGCTCACGGCGAAGAGCGGCCGGAAGAAGCGCTGCCCCTACACCAAGCACCAGACGCTGGAGCTGGAGAAGGAGTTCCTCTTCAACATGTACCTCACGCGGGAGCGGCGCCTGGAGATCAGCCGCAGCGTGCACCTCACGGACAGGCAGGTGAAAATCTGGTTCCAGAACCGCAGGATGAAACTGAAGAAAATGAACCGGGAGAACCGCATCCGGGAGCTCACAGCCAACTTTAATTTCTCCTGATGAACAGGCCCCCCGGGCCAGGCCGCCGCCGCGTCCCCGCGCCTTTCCAGGGCGCCCGCACCCCTCCTGCCGCCTCCAGCCTCCGCCCCGGGACCCGCACCTGTGCCGGACCCCCGCTCCTCCCGCCCACGCTCGCCGCCTCCCCGGCCGCCGTTCCGTCCGCGCAGGGCTGGTTTGTTCTGACTTTTCGTTCCTTTGTCTGTTGGCTTGGTGTCGGTTTACTCGTCTTCTGGGGGAAAAAGCCATATCGCTAAAAATTCGATTGCGATTGAGATCGCGTTCTGACTGTCAAGTCCTGACCGGGCTGGCTTGGCCGCCTCGGGGACCCGTGGCTGGAAAGGAGCCCCAGGACTCCTCCGCGGATCTGGTTTCCTGCCCAGCCCTGGGGAAACTTAGCCGGAAGCCCTAGGTCCCGTTGTCGGCGCTGAGGTGTCTGGCCTGAGGTCAATGGTGCACCGGTTCGCCAGCCTGGAGTGCTGGGCTGTGTTTAATCAGGGAGTACAGGCCTGATCCCTCTCTCTTCCTTCTTTTCTTCCTTGGCCAAGAGCAGAGTGTCGAAGACTGGACGTGCAGGTTAGCTAAAAGGGCTTGACCTGGCTGGTCGAAAAAGTGCAAAGGAAATAAGCAGAAGTATTAATTTTTGTCTTTCCTGTGTAAGATCTCCCAGCTTTAAATGAAAATAAAAAATGGCCAAGAGGAGGAACCTTCTCTTCCCGTTTGCCTAAGGTCTTGCTTGCCTGAGTGAAAATCCGTCATTTACCTTTGAATTTCCATATCGTGGCTGTTGATAAATAACATAGGTTTGTTTATATATGTGGACTTAGTGGATTTTTGCCATTGAAATGGTTACCAGTTGGTAACACACGAAAAGCACACCACGTTTCTCCCTATTTAATGGAGTTGGGGTTTTTGTTTTGTTATTTTGTTGCTTTAATTCGCTTTTGTGTTTGTTTGTTTCGTTTTGTAGGCTTTCTGAAATTCATGGAAGCCTAGGTGGGCTGGGGCAAGCAGAAAAATAAGAGAAGGGAGATGCTGTTTGGATTTCCTTTATACTGTGAAGTAACATGCATAAAAGGGTCAAACCTGTAGGTGCAGAAAAGAAAAAAAAAACTATAAATACAAATCTGTATAAATGTCTATTATTATGAAAAAAATTGCCAATCTTGTCTAAGCAAATGCATTCTATCGTTATTATAAATGTTAGTTCTAGCTTTATTTACTTCAAATCTTAAATCAGAATAAATTAATATTGTATTGCTGCTGTGCGTGGAAAAAAAGATGATGTTTATGTTCTTATAGAATAAAAGCTGTGGAATGAAGCTTTTTAATTTCACCTCTTTTTTTTTTTTTTTTTTTTTTTTACTCCTTATCTTCACCTTCCACTTTATCCTGTCCACCACTTTTACAACAGGAGGGCTAGCCCGAGCCCCCTGCAATTACTTTAGACATCTATTTAAATATTACCTAGACGGTCGTAATTTGTCTGGGCCCTATAGCCCTGGTGCCTTAAGGTTTGTCGGCTTTTGTTCAGTTTTATGACTTGTGAGTGTATCTGGATTGCGGCTGTCTTGGACCAGTGGTTTCAGTTGGGAGGAGAGCCGCATAGACAGAGGAAGCTCAGGAGGATTTCTTTCGGGAGCCCCAGGGAGGCTGGCCGAGAAGCCAGTTATTCCGTGGGCGTCCAGGTCTCAGAAGACCCCCACGGCCGAAGCCCGCGGCGGCCGAGGGCCCGCCCCTAAGGCACTGCGAGCACCCGCCGAGGTGGTTGAAGCGGACCCGGGGCCCAAGCTGTCCAGGGTCAGCCCCCTCCCCCTGCGCGGCCTCCCCCACCTGGCGGCCCTCCGCTAGGCCACGCGTTTCCTGCTCGCCGGAGGTGGGGGGGGCGACACCCGAGGACGGGGGGGGCGGGGGGTCGCGGGAGCGCGCGCCTCGGCGGGCGGGCGGGCGGCTGGGAGGGAGAAGAGCGAGAGAAGAGCGAGGCCGCGGCGAGCTAGATCAGGAGGCCGCGGCTGGACGCAGCGCCCGGCTCGGTCTCCGGCGCCTCCCGGGGAGCCCGGGGCCGCCCCGCTCCCCGAGGCGGCAAAGCCTGGGGGGGACCGCCGAGCCCCGCCTGGCCTCCCCCCCCTCCGCCAGCGTTGCCCCCTTCCCCTCTCCCTCCTCCCGCCCCGTCCCCTCCCCCTCCTCCCGCTCCCCCCTTCCTCCAGGAGCACCTTGCTGGGAGCCGGAGCCGTCCGCCGCCGCCGCTGGTTTGGGGTAGCGTCGGGCGCAGGTTGCGGGGGGCCGGGCTGGGCGCGGTGGCGGGGGGCGGGGGCCTCTCCCCGGCGGGCGGCGAGGGGCGAGGGGCGAGGGCGCGGCGGCCCCGCGCCGGCGGCAGCAGCAGAACTGGTCGGTGATGTAGGTAGTTTCCTGTTGTTGGGATCCAGCTCTCTCTCGACAGCACGACACTGCCCTCATCACTTCAGTTGAAAGCGTCTCCGGGGACCCGTCCCGAGCCGAGGGTGGCCGGGGGTGGCCGGGGGGCGGCGGCCCGCCGGGGCCCTCGGCGTGCCAGGCCTGGCGTGGCCACCTCGGCTCTCCCTCCGCGCCGTGCCACCCTGCGCGCCGCGCCCTCTCCGCCCCGCGCCTGGCCCGGGCAGGTACGGTCAGGTCGGCGGCGGGTTCGGGGACGCCGGGGGCGTGGTAAGAATTCTGGGCCTCGGGCCATTCAAGGTCAGGGGCGCCCGCTCGCTCGCTCGCAGCCCGGGCTCTCCTTCCCGTGGGCACCTTTGGGGCTCTGCCCCTCTCCCCCGGGGCTGGCCCGGGACACGTGCCCACCGCTGCCATCCCGCTGTGGGCAGAGGACAAAGTCCTTGGGCAGGAGGAGCCCGGGCTGGGACAGAGGGACCGTCCGGGCTTGAGGCTCCGGCCTAGTCGCTTCCTCTCGCCTCCGCCAGCTCCCACAGTCGCCACGGCGTCTTTAACGCGTTTTCTACCCTCCTTCCAGCCTCCTTCCCTCCTTCTTTTTCCTTTCTGCCGCTCCTCGCTCTCTTTTTCTTTTTTTTTCTTGCATCTTCCGTCCTTCTATCCAATCCTCTTACCTCTCAGCTTCCTTTCCAAGTCGTTCTTCCGGAGGGGAAAGGGCTGGCTTAGAGCAAGCTAGGAGGTTTCATTTCTCTCTCTCTCTCTCTCTCTCTCTCTCTCTCTCTCTCTCCACAGGTTTGAGTGTGCGGAGGAAGGCGGAAGGGTAACTGTTGGGGTCCTTTAGGGTTTTTGTTGTTGTTGTTGTTGTTGTTGTTTTTGGCCTGCTGGGCCTCCGCGTAGACAAGGCCTCGGTTATGATCACGACCGGGTGGCGGCGGCCTTGCGTTGGCGGCTGCCGAGAGAGCCGTTGACGGGGCACCCGCCGCGTCTTTGTGTCCGCACACCGAGGGCGAGGAGCCGTCCGCCGGCCCCGGCGGTTCGGGAGCTGAAATCCCAGCTCAGTTCTGTGGCGCCTGGCTCCCGGGGAAGCTCCAGCAGGAAGCTCCCGGGCGCCTCCGCCGGCTTCACGGGTCCCAACGCGGGCTTTGACCGTGGTGAAGGAGCCGCACCAGGGCCAAGGCTTGGCTGCTGCCTGGCTTGCCAGCGGCAGCAGATTCAGAAAACGTTAGACACATCTCTCCCCTTGGGCGGCCGAGTGTCTGAGATGGGGGACTGTCCCCAGCTCCAGTATATTTTAAATGAGTAAGAACAACCCCAAATTTAAGAACTAAGCGAGCACAAACTCGAGGACCGGCTCTCAGTTGTAATCTAAGAAAGCCAGCCTAACCATTCTCAGCACAGAAAACCGAAAACAAACCACCCCTGCCCGGAGACTGCGGAGCTCTGTGCTCCTCCCCAGCTCAGGCGGATGCCCGGGAATTGTTTTCCTTGCTCAGCCCAACAACCTGTTATCTGAAAGGGCTGCACACCCGGTTCCCTCCAACTCTTCTCCGCCGTGCTCTGGACCAGCCTCTTGGTTCAGAGACTAAGGTTTTAGGGAGATTCTCAGCTGAGAATGGGGTGGTTTGTATATATTATTCTAGGTGTGTATAGCACCCCTTCAAGTCCAAAGAAAGCAGAAATAAAAACCTGTATAATTTACCATCACGTTTCTGGGCTCAGAAGGATAATGCCTGCTTTTATGAATTTCCCGCTTCTGGTCACCAGTAAGCAGCGGCTTTAATACTCAGCGCCTGTGACTTATTTTGTAATTTTCCCATTTAGAGACTAAAGTTTTTAAAAACAATTTTACTGCTACCACTACTACTAATAATAATCCATGTTTTCTTTGAGTACAAAACGCTCAAAAAGGCAGCCAGGCACACTCTGCCACTTAACAAACAATTAGAATTAAGAGCAGAGTTATACTCCAGGGCTATTGCTTACATGAAAATCTGAACTCCAGAGGACTTTGGGATGTTTAGAACACCTTGGGGCTGTGCTGTCCGGTGGAGGGTGACTTGGTGGAATTTTCAGAGATGGGAAAATATTAGGGGGAGGGGACTGAGGCAGTCCGGACAGGCCACGTCCAGTCCCTGCCTTTGGCCACTTTCTTCTTCCTGCTGACAAGCGAAGTAGAGTCTCCTGTATTTCAGATTCACAGCCTCCCTCCCAGGTGGAGCCTAATATTTTAGGGATTTCTGTCTCCTGGGACAGGACTGTGTTGGCGTATTGGAAGGTGTTTGCTTGAGCCGTTTGTGAGAAAGAAAGCAAAAAGAAAGGTGGACATGTCTTGGGCCAGCAGTTTTGTAAATAGCTAAGCCAAGTAATGAAAAACATGCTGTTGGAAGGCACAGAACTCACACGTGAATTTAATTACAGTTTCTAGGAGTTGTTGCTTTGTGTTCTGAATTGGTATGAGGCCCCCTCCCTCCGCCATTAACAACAGTGGCTGTGGCCTTTTTACTTTCTCTCATCCCCAAATATTCTAAGGGGTAAGAAATTGCATCGTCCATTTGGTCGAAGGATGAGATTAAAGTCAATGTCCAGTGCTCCTCCCGGCTTAATTTGTAGCACTGGACTTGAGCTGTAGTGGCCTCGTTTTCGTTCTCCGGTCTCTAGTGCTCTGTTTTGGGGATAACCAAGGTAGGGGCCCTGGAGATGGGAAGAGAGGAAAGGGGAGGGAAGGGAGGACGGAGAAAGAAAGGGAAGGGAAGGGAAATGGGGTGGAGGAGGAATGGGAAGAAAGAAAGGAGGCGGGAAGGATCCCAGAAGGGCTGAGATAGGGCCCAGGCATGGCCACCTCAGGGACTGGAGCTCCTTCTTGGCTCCTTCTAGGGTCGCCCCTGAGCCAGACGGACTCCTCGGGTACCGGTATTGACTGAAGATTTTTCCCGGGTCCGGGGAGAGAGACTAGGCTTACAGAGGATGGAGCTGAGATCCGGGTGGCTGGCCGAGGAATGAAATTCACTGAACAGTTTGTGCTAAAAAAGACGTGGGCCAGGGCAAAGGTTGCGCTTTTGACACAGGAAAGTCCCCAAAGCCTTGAGCGTAGCTGGCTGGTCCCTCCTTGGCCTCCCCTTGAGCAGCAAGGGCGATTTGGGTGCGGCGGGCGCGATGGCCTGGCTGGCTTTACAGTCCAGCAAGGGTCGCCAGCCCATTTTAGGTGTTTGGACCGTCCGTGGTGCAGCGCCCAGGGGCGGCGGCCGGTCTGGTTGAGGTGGAGAAAGCCTTGTATTTGACTTCTCGAGGCCGGCCTTGGGAGGCGGGGAGGGGGGCCTCGCATCTCTGAGGCCCGCTAGGATTATTTACAGGGCGCTCGCCGACCAAACACAACAGTCTAATTTAACCTTTCCCAGTCCTCGTAAATTTTTACAGGGAGCCGCGGCGAGGCAAGCGAATCTGCGGGTCGTTCCTGACTGACTTTCCACCAGCCCGTGCGGCTTCCGAAACAATAACTCCTTATGAAATATCATAAATATAGATTTAAATACAGTAGAGTGAGAATGCGATTTGGCTGCTTTTTTATGGCTTCAATTATTGTCTAATTTTATGTGAAGGGGCTCTGCCGGCCGCACACGCGCGCGCGCGGGGCCCGCGCCTTCCTGATGGTGTGATTAATTGTGATATAAAATAGTCCGCTTAAGAAGTGTGTGTGTGTGTGTGTGTGTGTGTGCGCGCGCGCGCGTGGTGTGTGTACGGGGAAGGGGGGACGAGAGAGAGAGAGAGAGAGAGAGAGAGAGAGAGAGAACAGAGGGGCAAAGCCAGATCTGATCTTTTAATCTTCGTTGGGCCACAATTAAAACAAACCAGATCGCCGAGCAGGCCCCCCCCTTCCCCCGATCCCTCTGCATTAAAAAAAAAAAAAAGGAAAAAAAAACATATGGCTTTTGCTATAAAAAATTATGACTGCAAAACACCGGGGCCATTAATAGCGTGCGGAGTGATTTACGCGTTATTGTTCTGCCGGGCGGCCACGTGACGCGCGCGGCCAATGGGGGCGCGGGCGCCGGCAACTTATTAGGTGACTGTCCTGCCCCCCCGCCCCCCGCCCCCCGCTCTCCCGGTGCCACCAAGTTGTTACATGAAATCTGCAGTTTCATAATTTCGGCGGGTCGGGCCGGGGCGCGCGGCGCGGGCGACGGCCATGGCCACCACCGGGACGCTGGGCACCTACTACGTGGACTCGTTCCTGCTGGGCGCCGAGGCGGCCGACGAGCTGGGCAGCGGCGGGCGCTACGGCCCGGGCCCCCTGGGCCAGCCCCCGAGGCCGGCGGCGGCGCTGGCCGAGCACCCCGACTTCAGCCCCTGCAGCTTCCAGTCCAAGGCGGCGGCGGCGGCGGCGGTGTTCGGGGCGTCGTGGAACCCGGTGCCCGCGGCCGGGGCCGGCGCGGTGCCCGCCGCCGTCTACCACCACCCCCACCCCCACCCTCCCTACGCGCACCCCCCGGCGCCCGTGGCCGCGGCGGCGCCCCCGGACGCCAGGTACCTGCGCTCCTGGCTGGAGCCCGCGCCCGGCGCGCTCTCCTTCGCGGGCTTGCCCTCCGGCCGGCCTTACGGCGTTAAACCTGAACCGCTGCCGGCCAGAAGGGGCGACTGCCCCGCGCCTGACACCCACACTCCGCCCTTCACTGACTATCCTTGTGGTTCCCCTCCAGTTGATAGAGAGAGACCCCCCGGCGAGGGCGCCTTCTCCGGAAGCACCGCCGAGAAGGACAGCGGCGGGGACAAGTCCCCCATCGACCCCAGTGAGTGCCCCCTTCCCCTCCGCAGGGGGGGGGGGGGGGGGGGGGGGGGGGAGCCGCCGCCTCCGCGCCGGCCGCCGGGATCTGCCAGCGCGTCGGCTCGCCCTGGAGCCCTGCCTTCGTCCTCTGGCTCTGGGCCCCCCCCAAGAAGAGGATGCTGGTGTTCGGAGCACCACCGATTGGGGGTCCCCCCTCCCGAGTCCGGAGAACGGCGCGGAGCGGGCCGGGCCGGCTGGGGAAGGGGAGGGGATGCTGCAGCCGGAGGGGGCGGGGCGGCCGCTGCGCCCGGACCCGGACCCGGACCCGGACCCGGACCCGGACCCGGACCCGGACCCGGACCCGGACCCGGACCCGGACCCGGACCCGGGGGTCCCGCTGCCGGAGGCCCGGGCCGGCGGCGGGCGGCTCCGGGGAGGCGCGCGCAGGGGCCTTCTGTGCGGCCGAGGCCTGCGCCCCGGGGAGGGCCCGGAGGTCCCCGTCTCTGGCTTCGGCCGGCGGCGGCGGGGAGCCCCCCGGGGGGTGGGGGCTGCGGCCTCCGGAGCCGCGAGGGTCCCGGGCCTGATCTGCTCAGATCCGGCGGAGCCGCGGCCCGCGGCCTCCCGGGAAGGTCAAACCGGGAGCGGGGACGGTTTCGGGGGCGCTGCGGAGGGGCGCGCGGCTGGCCCGGGGGGCGAGGGCGGGGAAGGAAGCGGCGGCGGGAACGCGGGCGCCTCGCTCTGCTCCGCTGGCCAGAATAACAACAGCAACAACAACAACAATAATAGCAATAATTCGCATTTCACCCCTTCACGACCCGCAGACGGTGGAAGGGAGGCCAGGGCCGGGGGCGGGAGGCGGGAGAGGCCGTGGGCGCCGGCGGCGGGCGAGGGCGCTGGGGCCGGCTGCCGGGGCTCCGCGGTGTCTCCCCTAACGACTTCAGCGCCTTCCCGGCCTCTCCCCCACGCGGGACGGCTCTCCTCCATGCGGGACGGCTCTCCCCACGCGGGGCGCTTCTCCTCCATGCGGGACGGCTCTCCCCACGCGGGGCGCCTCTCCTCCATGCGGGACGGGTCCCCCCCTCAAGCCCGCCTCTCTCCCCCACGCGGGGCGCCTCTCCCCCACGCGGGGCGCCTCTCCCCCACGCGGGAAGGCCTCCCCCCTCAAGCCCGCCTCTCCCCGGCCCCCGCAGGTAACCCGGCCGCCAACTGGCTGCACGCGCGCTCCACGCGGAAGAAGCGCTGCCCCTACAGCAAGCACCAGACGCTGGAGCTGGAGAAGGAGTTCCTCTTCAACATGTACCTCACGCGGGACCGCAGGTACGAGGTGGCGCGGCTGCTCAACCTCACCGAGAGGCAGGTCAAGATCTGGTTCCAGAACCGCAGGATGAAGATGAAGAAGATCAACAAAGACCGGGCCAAGGACGACTGAGGGCGGGGAAGAGAGCGAGCTAGAGAGAGAAGGGGAAGGACGGCGGCTCCCTGCTCCCTCCTCGCCCCGGCACTCCCCGCAGGCTCGCTCCCAGGCCTGTGGCTCGGACCCGGGAGGTGGTGTGACTTTTCCATTTTCCGTAGGACACAAAGGAGGGAGGGCATTCGCGCTGACGGCTGTATGTGCTAGCTTGTATATATATTTAAAAAAAGAAAGAAAAAAAACCTACCTGCTTCCGACTTTAAGCGAAAAGGGGGGGAAAAACTACCTTTTTATCTCCTGCACAACTGTCGATGACCGGCTGTATAGTTTTCAGTCTCTACTGTAGCTAATTTAAGTTGCTCCTTGTGCGGCAGGCCGTTCTGCTGGAATACTTGAACACTGTGTTTTATTGTGGTGATTATGTTGTTGTTTTTGTTTTTGTTTTTGTTTTTGTTTTTGTGACTCAAACTTCTGTGCTGGGTGAGGCACCCGTTGTGATCGTGGAAGCTAGAATTCGATTTGAACTCAGGTTGTTTATGGGGGGGGGGGGACGCATAGAGTCTAGCTCTGTAGTAGAATATACCGTCTTCTGTGTAACTAGACTGTTAGGCTACGGTGGTGAACTGGCTGTGAGGCTTCCCAGAGAGGTCGACGTTGGAAAGAAACGGGAGGTGTAGTCCTCCAGGGCGCATAGGTCCACGACTGATCTCCCTTGGAAACGCGGGCTTCATTGTCCCACGTTCCAGACTCCATTCCTGTCCGGTGTACATAGACTCTCCTTACGAAAGAAATACTCACGATCGGATAAGCTTGAATATTGTTTTTGCACCAGAGGAGGAGCGAGGAGATTCGGAGCTATAGGTCGTGCAGAGTCACTACCTACCGTTTACGCTTACTTTTAATTTGGGGGGGGGCGGGGGGCGAGTGTTTATTGTAATGGAGTTAATTTTATTGATAATAAATTATACACCATGAAACCGCTTTGGGGCTACTGTAGATTTGTATCCTTGATGAATTTGGGGTCTCCATCGGACTGAACGTACACACTGTATATTTTGCAATAGTTACCTCAAGGCCTTCTGACCAAATTGTTGTGTTGAGATATTTAACTTTTGCCAAATAAAATATATTGATTCTTTTACTTTGTGCGGGTCTGTTTTTTGGGGGGGCAGGGGCACCTTCTTTTTCTAGGTCTGTTTGGTGGGGTGGGGGCTGAGGTGAGGCGGAAAGAGCCCTAATTCTGTCTGCAGCTGGGACCTGCAGTAGCCAGTCGGGCCAGGCCTAAGCCGGCTGACTGACTCGGCTGCCGGTCGGTAGAAGCAGGAGCGGAAAGCTGGGCAGAGGCGCGGTGTCACCAGAAGACCAGAGAGGCATCTGAGGTGCTGGACAGAAGCGCTGGGTACCCCTGGCCAACAGCGGTGACAAGGCCACTCTTTCATTTTTGGGGCTTCAAAATAATAATAATAATAATGATAATAATAATAATAATAATTCCCAAGCCTAGACTCACAGAAAAAGGGCTGAGGTCTTGGGAAGCAAGGTGGTTGGGGGTGCAGGAGGAGCAGCGGAGGAAGGGCCGGTGGCCTGCTAAGGAAGCTCCGAGGAGGACAAACAGGGGCCCCATGCGCCCAAAGGGGTGGCTCCTTCCACTACCCAAGGCTCGTCCGTCCGAGGGGGGAAAAGCTGCACACTGGGCCCCGCTGGGCCCTGCCAACCTGGCCCGGGGCGGCTGGGGGGCAGGGAGCCTCCTCCTCCTCCTCTGCCGAGCCGCCTCCGGGGCTGAGGTCCCCACAGGAGCAGGCCTTAGCAACCGACAAGCCCCGGAGCGCCATAAAAGAAAATGAGGGCTGTTAGCCTTTATGGGGTGTAAAGGGCTGCGCGCGGGAACCGGCTGCAGCTCCGGAGGCCCCGGCCGGCGCCTTCCAGCTGCAGCCGGGAGGGCTCGGCCCCGCTTCGCCCCCACCCCGGGTCCTTTCCACCGCCCCTCCCCCAACCTCGGCAGTGTGGACCGTCTTGGGACGCCCCGAAAAGGGGGACCCGGGTGCGGGGACCCTGGGGCTCCCCCACCCCCAGCTCCCGTCCCCAGCGCGCACGCCCTGTGTTGTGGCAGACGGGAAGGACTTCAAAGCCCGAGCGGTAAGGGCGTGCCATAAAGGAAGGTCTGCGAACTGTCTGGAATTCGGCCCTTAATGAGTTTACGACCGTCCAGCTGCAATTAGGGGGTCCCACCAAAAAAACCCTTTCATTTGTTTGCTGTCTGCCGCCGGTGAAGAGCCCACGGAAACAGCCCTCTTTTTTTTTTTTTTTTATGGGCGCTTCCCCCTCCGCAGCGTCGCTTCCCGGCTCCCCGAGATCCAGGGTGGGGACGGGGCTCCCGCTCCGCCCACGGGAATGGGACCCTGGTGGGGTCACCGGGCCCTGCCGAAGTTCACGCGGGGCCGGCGCCGCCGCGGCTGCAGTACCCAGAGAAGCCCAGCAGATGGCAGTGTGGCTCCACGCAAGACGCGCTCCCGCCGCCATCTCCCGCCGCCGCGGCCCGGGAAGCTCCTAAAATGTCGACTTGACGCCAGCCTTCCTGGAAGGGGATCGGCGCGAGCGGCGCTCGTATATTTTCCCCGCCGCTCGCGCCGGCCCGAGGGCCTCCAGGGGACCCGGGCGTGCGCCGGAGCTCGCTTCTCCCAGGCCCCACTCCGGGGCAGCAGCGGCCGGCGCCGGGCCCGAGCTCAGAGCACGGGTTTTATTTCAGGGTCACAGTCCTCATCCCTGCAGAGAGCGGGGGGGGGGGGCGGCGAGGCGCGCGGGGACGGTGGCTCACGATGGACGGGCAAGGGGACGGCCACCTCCGGCCCCAGGAGCGGATGACGCCGCAGAGAACGCACCCTGCAGCCGCGGGGTCCGCCGACCCTAGAGGCCCCGAAACCTGTACCCCGCTTCAGGGTCGGTCACCGGGCCTAGGGAGCCGGCACCAGTGAGAGAGAGAGAGGGAGAGAGAGAGAGAGAGAGAGAGAGAGAGAGAGAGAGAAATAGAGATGGAGAGAGGGGGAGAAGGAGAGAGAGAGAGGGAGGGAGGAATGGAGAGAAAGAGAGAGAGAGAGAGAGAGAGAGGGAAAGGGAGAGGGAGAAAGAGAGAGAGAAATAGAGAGATGGAGAGAGGGGAGAAGGAGAGAGAGAGGGAAGAATGGAGAGGAAGAGAGAGAGGGAGATGGAGGGAGAGATGGAGAGAGAGAGAGAGAGAGAGAGAGAGAGAGAGAGAACGTCGTTGGACTCGGCCGGCCTGGATACCTGGCCTTAAAATCAGGCGGCCGAAAGGCCGAAATTTGGCTCTCAACCATCTTTGGTGGCCGCCCTGTGGAGCAGATCTGCCGGGGGTTTGGCGGGGTTGGGGTAACTCGGGGCACAGACTGGGAACCGTTAGACACACGATGCGTTTGAGGGCGTGGGCCGACGCTCTCGCTCCAGAACCGGCGCTGGGGTAGGCGAGGTCGCTCGGCCTCTCCGCTTCTCTGGCCGTGGCGTTTCTTTGGCATTGAGGTGACCCGGCTGCTCTGGCGTCGCCGGCCCAGAGGCTCGGGGCAGAGACGAACCCCGGTCCCCCTCCGGCCTGCTGCGCGGAGGGCAAGCGCGGGGACCGGCCTCCGCTGCCGGGCGAGAGCGAGCGGGGAGCCGAGCCCCGGCCCCGCGAACGCAGGCTGCGCGCAGCGTTTATGGGGGTCGTAACAGTCTCGGCCAAGCCCACAAAATGTTTACGACCCGCATCTCCCGTGGAACACGCTGTAAAACCAGGGGCTCGGTTTTTGGCTGACGTCTCGCCTGGGTCTCCCTCTCTCCCTCCTAACCCTTAAAAAAAAGAAAGAAAGAAAGAAAAAAGAAAATTCTAAACACACATGGGCAACACAAGCGCACGCCGTCGTTCCGTTTCCGTAGGTGACAGGCGCCACCTCACAGCATCCGAGGGTAGGAAGGGTTTGTAGCTTCTGGGGTGAGCGCCGAGAGAGAGGTGCCCGCCTCTCCTAATCCTCAGAAATCTCTAGTTCTGGCACCGCAGCTGAGCGGCGAAACCGCTGACGGGTGGACACAGACAGAAGGCTCCATCTTTATTTTTTATTTTCCCTCTCCCCGAACAATGCAAGTCTCAGGTCGGCAGGAATGCTCTCCCCCACTGATCAGAGGCCTCAGGTAGATGCAGGCCTGGGGGCTCAGAGGCCTGGTGAGCTGCTCAGGCCGGCAGCTCCCTTGCCCTTGGCCGACTGGCGGCTTGGCAGAGTGCTCTGTGCTCTTGCTGCCTGGCAAGCTTTTCCAGCCGAGGCAAGACCCGGCAAGGAACTGGGTTTATTTTTTCGCCCCGGGGAGGAATTGGTGCCCAGCGTCCAAAGCGGGAGCCCCTCATCAGGTCGCGGGGGTAGACTCGATGGCCAAAGCCCTCAGCCTCCTCCGGGGAGGGGGTCAGAAACAGTCACAGGCCCGCAGGACGCTCAGAACCACTCCAGAAGGCGGGCGGGCGGGCGGGCGCCATTCTTTACCAAGGGCTGGATTTACCTTCTAAACCTGGATCTCAACGCTGAGGACTATTCGGCGAAAGGAAACAATTTCTGGCAGTAGGTTTAAAAAGCTAATTCTGGGAAAGCTTTGGGAAATGTTTAGATTAAAAACTGGCTTATCAGGCCTCTTCTTCGGGGCCTGGGGTTGAATAGTGTGTGAATATTATCGCGCCTAACAGAGAAGCCAAATAAGTCGGGAGCCGATGGCCAGGGAATATATAATAAAATAGTCCTTTCCTGAGAGTCTGGTTTTGTTCAAAGTCCAGCCAGGGAAGAGAGACCCAGAAAGGAAGAGAAGGTTTTCTGCAACCCCCGACCCTGCTCAGAGGAAATGCTTGGGTCCAGAAGTGCCAACGCCTGGAAAGCAGCAGAATTCAAACACTATTTGGCCTTGGCAAACCGGGACAGGGTCTCTTGCGGGGACTCTTGGGTCCATGCCCCGCCAAATGCGGACTACCCTCCTCCTGTGATTGTTCCTGCCCCACTCCGGCTGCCAGGTCTCTTTCTAAAGGGAAGTTGCACTTTGAACAGCGTCGCTTTGGGCTGCTTCAGTCTCCTGAGTCTAGACAGACGGCCTCGGCCTGCCTAGTCTTTCACTTTGCGCCTTGCTCTGTGTCACCCCGGGAGCAATTTATTGGTCTAAACCGGTCTAATTTCTCCTCTTTGATCTCCCAGTCTTCTTTTCGTTTGCTTCATCTTCCTTTAGCTTTTTTTTTTTTTTTTTAAGATTTTATTTCTCTGTTAGAATTCGCTGCTATTTCGATTTTTTTTCTTCCTGTTTTACTCCCCCCCTCCTCCTGTTTCCCATCCAGATCCACCATAAATGGGGTCCGGATACTGTCACTCCAGGGTCCCTATGCTCTGGGACACAGCCCGGGTCCCACCTGCCCTCTTGCCCAGCAAAGCCTGAGCCCTTTCCTGGGTAGGCACTGGGGCTTCCTTCCATAGGGATTTGAACTGTCCTTCCGTCTTTTGTGCTCCCAAGACCCCCTGAGAGGATGCAGCGGCGGGGGGGGGGGGGGGTGGGCGCAGCCTGGACCCACAGCGAGCGATAAGAAAGTGCTTTGCACACCATGAACCAAACTCTATAATTTAGAGGAGAAATTTCCGGGGCAATTCCATTGTGAAGTCGGGTTTATGATGTGCAATCTAGCTGAGCAGTAAAAGGTGGCTAGTCTTCCAGCGTGGCCTGGGCAGTTTACGAGGCGTTCAGGGAGAGGATTCACCAAAATATCCTCCAGAGAGCCTCGGGCAGCGGGGCCTTCATCTGGCCTATCACTGCTGGTGTGAAGGCCAGCAAGGTAGGCCCCCGGGGTGTGTGGCTGCCGGAGAGAACCAGACTGTGTCTGTGAACCGGTGCTTGGGAAGGTGGCCCTTGAGGGGCCTTTCTTGTTTGCCTTTATTGTCTCCTAAAAAATGGGGGTTCCAGCTTCAGCAGCCAGGTCCTGAGATCTCCTCTCTTCTCTCTAAATCAGCTCTGAGACTTGCCCCCCCACCCCCACCCCCGTCCGCCCACAAGGTGTAAGTCCCAGGGGTAGCCTGGCTGAGACCGGCCAGAAGCCTCCCGCTCTGAAGGGCGTGTTTAGAAAATTGCGGACCCCAGCTTCTTCCAAGCTGCGTGAGGATGAGCCCGTTTCCCGTGATCCAGGGGGTAGCCAGCGGGGTTGAGAAGGACAAAGGGGGTGTCGCGAGCCAGCCATTTATTGGGTTGCTACGGGCCGGCCAGGTGCCCAGGAGCTAACGCAGGGAGACTGCGGGGCGCAACCGTCCGGGAGGCGGAAAGGGAATCCCATGTTAATAAATCTGTTGGCAAATGAGGCTCATTAATAGATAAATATTTCACTGCTTCCTTTAGGGCAGATAAACAGTGCGCTGCCGATTAAAGAAAGGAAGCTGGGAGACGTTGAATTTATTCGAACCACATGGTTCCAGTTCGTGGCAACGCTCTGGCCGCTCGGCTCCAGGAGACGCCGCCGCGCCATCAAACCCGGCCTTCAAGGTCCTTCTAGAGAGAGAGAGAGAGAGAGAGAGAGAGAGAGAGAGAGAGAGAGAGAG